TCAGCCCATTAAAAGCTTATAATTCACGAAAGTTTAAGTTCTCTCCATGCCAAAAACGTTAGGCCCCCTTTGCTCTCTCTGCTCCTGAAACAGCCAAAGAGCGCTTTCTGACACCAAATGTCCAGAACTTCTCCAAACCTTTTGCAACCTGGGTTCACACCTCAAAGGTGCTTTTTCCAACTTGGGTTAATCTGTAAACACCAAAAAAAAGCAAACCCTCAGAAAGAGGGGAGGAGGGGGAAGAGAATGCCTTTTATTTTCATTTTAATTGCAGGCGAACGCAGCCGAGAACCACAAAATAATAATAATAATAATTCAATGACAAAAATTCTGAGCAGAAGAGCGGAAAGAAAAATTAACCTACCTTTTTTGCTTAGCCTTTCCATTGCACGCCTCCATCAAAACTACTCTCCCACCACACACAATTCTTCGATGCTGCCTTCGGAGTGTGATGAGCTCTTCCCCTCAACAACCCCCCCCCCCAACCCAGTGGTGGGATCCTCCTGATTTAGCAACCAGTTCGGTGATCGGGGAACCGGTTCGCTCTCAGCTGATCGTTGGTTTACCCGAACCGGCTGAACCCTACCCCTACCCCAATTTCCCGAGATTGGCAGAAATTAGACCACAGCAGCAAAGCAAGTCTTTCTACTGTGGGCCTGCTGAAAAAGATGGGTAGAGGTGATCTGTTCGGCCCCTTTTTGCAATAAATGCCGATCGCACAAGGTTGTGCGGCACGCACAGTTTAGTGGTTTAATGTTAAATGCAAACGTCCATTAGTGTCACACAAAAAAAGATTTTAAGCTCCTCGGTCAGAACGAAGCACCCCATGACAGAGGCAGAAATCCCATCGATGCAGCCCGCCTGCGTTGGGCAAATCTACCTCCTCTTGAGTAAAAGAGAGTCCACACTGCATGGTGGGACTTGTAGTCCCCAGCCTTCGTGCAGTTTTCCTCTGGGAGTCTCCCGCGTTCCGGGAGGGGCGTTTTAAGTCACTTCGTTGTTGCTCACCTTGTTAAGGATACGCGAGCGGCGGGGGACGCACTCCAAATCGAAGCGGCTTTCGTAAATGGTGGGGCAGAGATGCCAGCGGTTGTCGCGGTAGATGCCCAGGTAGGTGTAAGCATCGGGCTTGTAGGATAAGAGGCACTTGACCCCCGTGGCCCGGATCACCGAATCGGCCACCAGCACCTCCTCTTCGTTGGTGAAGTCTTCGGTGTACACGCAGATGACGTGTTTGCGGTCCGAGTCGGGGCAGCAGGGGCTCACCTTGGCCACCCCAACACGCCCTTCGAGGACCGCCCGGGCAATGCCGCACCAAGCGTGGTCCACTTTGAAGCCACTGTCCAGGTGCATTAGCCACTTGCCTGTCAGGACCCGTCGGTTAAGGGCCAGCTCCTTGATGGACTCAAAAGTCACGTGGCGCCCGCTGAGCTGCAAACGTTCCCAGTCTTCTTGAAGACCTACGACATCGCCAGATTCTGGGCAGAAGCTGGGGCCGTAGATGGCAATCCAGCCCACCGGCTCGGTGTTGCACTCCGGGTTGCCGTAGCGAGAGACGCGGGACGGCTGGTAAGTCTGGAGCCATTCCTCAAATTCAGCCTTGGGGGTCTTGCGGGCGTCAAAGACCACCCAGGAGTCCATGTCTGCGGCCATGGCTTCGGCCGCCAGGTCCTCGCTGGCAAAACTGCCATCCTTCCCCATCTCGTCATGCTGGTTAGCCATGGTTTGGCAAGGCACCTGATGGGGGGAAAAAGTCAAACCAGGAAGGGATCAACCCACTTCAGGCCACAGCTGGGAGACGAGTCCAAATTGGCACTTTCTACAGGTAGTCCTCGACTTACAACAATGTATGTAGTGACCGTTCGAAGTTACAATGGCACTTAAAAAAAGTGACATGACTGTTTTTCACAACTTACGACCACTGCAATATATTCATGGCCATGTGATTAAAATTCAGGCACTTGATAACTGACTCGTATTTATGACGGTGGCGGCATCAAGCAAGGAAGCCAGATTCAACCGTGTGACTAATTTTAACAACTCCAACGATCCACTTTAACAACTGTGGCAAGGAAGGTCGTAAACTGGGGCAAAACGCACTGAACAAATGTCTCACTTAGCAACAGAAATGTTGGGCTCAACTGTCATAAGTGGAGGACTACCGGTATTTTCAGATTAACCTGGGTTTCCACAGCCCAGTTCCAAAATATCAAGGGCACACCTGTTGGCAGAAAGCTGTTGTAAAACCTTTTGAAGGGGGTAATATTGTAGAAAAACATTCTAGTGAACAGGTACAAGAGTTTTAAGATATGTAGATTATTCCTAAAGCATCTTAATTTTAACTTTAGTTTATTTTAACTAACTTGATTTAATTTTAATAATAGTAAAATAGCTAAGGTTTTTCAATAGTAGTCGTAATGCATAACAACTTGTAATTATAGTAAGAATGCCTAGATAATCCAAATAGTACTAATAATGTTTAGTCTCCCAATATACTATTATATATAGTCTATACTAGTAATCCCTAATCTCCTAATAAAAATGCCCAACAATAATGAACACCTAAAGTCTTCCAATAATAGTAATAACATTGAGTTTCCTAATTGTAGTGGCAATGCAGAGTTTCTCAGTAATAGTAGTAATAATGTCTTACATCTAGTAATGCTTAGTCTCTCTATAATAGTAGTAGCAAATGCCTATACTCCTAACAGTAACACCTAAGGTTTCTCAATAATATTAACGGTAATAACGTATAAAGTCTTCTAATAATGCCAAAACTCTCACAATAATGTCTGGTCTTCTAATCATTGTATCAGTAATACTGCCTACTTTCTGAATAAGAGCAATAATGTCTAAAATCTCTTCATAATGCGCATTAATTAGGGCCTCAACTAATAACCACAAATGAGCCCAAAATTTAGGTTGCTAAGTGAGACAAGTGAGTTTCACCCCATTTTATGACCTTACATCACATGACCACGGGGAGGCTCCAGTGGCCGTTAGTTTGAAAAACGGTACATGTCACTTTTTTCAGTGCTGTTCTAATCTCGAGCGGTCACTCAACGAACTCTCACAAATTGAGGACCACCTTAAACTTTCCTAAAGTCTCCCAATAATAGTAAACTATTAAATACTTTATTACTATTATTAGACTTTACACGTTAGTAAGATTGTTGGGAGACGTTAGGCAATTTTACATTAATTTAATGTTAATGAATTAAATACATGAAGTTTCCCAATAGCACTAATGCCTAAAATGTCCTAATAACAGTAAAGTATTAAATACTTTATTATTATTATTAGACTTACGTTAACTTAATGTTAATCAAAGGTGGCTCAGTGGCTAAGATGCTGAGCTTGTCGATCAGAAAGATCGGCAGTTCAAATCCCTAACACCATGTAACGGAGTGAGGTCCCGTGACTTGTCCCAGCTTCTGCCAACCTAGTAAAAATGTGAGTAGAAAAATAAGGACCACCTTTGGTGGGAAGGTAACAGCACTCTGTGCCCTTTTGGCGTTTAGTCATGCCGGCCACATGACCACAGAGACGTTTTTGCACAGCGCTGGCTCTTTGGCTTAGAAACGGAGATGAGCATTGCCCCCTAAAGTCGGGAACAACTAGCACATATGCGCGAACCTTTACCTTAATGTTAATGAATGAAATACATGAAGTCTCCCAACAATAGTACTAATGCCTAAAATGTCCTAATAATAGTAAAGTATTAAATACTTTATTATTATTAGACTTACGTTAACTTAATGTTAATGAATGCCTAAAATGTCCTAATAATTTTTTCCCAAATGCCATCACTCTGCTAAACAACGAATCCCCACAACACTGTCAAATTATTTAATAAGACTGTATTACTATTCTTCTTCTCATCCTTCCTATTACCTATCTCTTTCCACTTATGACTATAACCATGTTGCTTGTATCTTTAAAATTTATATTGTTTTGTTTCTTCCCTAGTATGATGTCATCACTAAGTGTTGTATCTTATGATTCTTGATGAATGTATTTTGGTTTTTTTATGTACA